AGCTTCTGTAGTTGAGAGAAATGCAGCAAAGGCCGCGGGACGCAACAGCATTAGGAGACTGACTGGGATGTAGCCACAAATATCGAATAAGATATATGTCAAGAACCTAATACGCAGAAACACAAAAATGTTCTTTCAATTCTTCGCGCCGGCGCTATAGTGTAGTGGTTATCACTTGAGATTCTGATTATCCTTCTCAAAACCCAGGTTCGAGCCCTGGTAGTGCCTCAAGTAGTTGACTTTTGGCATTGATCCTTGTTCAACTGTTTTTAGCATTGTTGATGACATTCCAGAGTAATTCGGGAATATGGGTATTGTCAGTCGACTTTTCCGATGGACACGATTTTCTATTAGGTCTACCGAGGCGTATTCATGTAATATGTCCTTAGCTATAGTTGTAGCGGAGGTAGATATCAAAATAGTAACATAGTAACATATAGTCACTTGTGATGCTGTCTGACTGAAAATCATATTTTTTCATGACAAACAATACAAAGTTCAAGCTCTACACAAGCCTATCTGCAGAATTAGTGTACAGAACATTACAATTGTGATAGGAAAAGTACATTAGCTACATCAATATGAAAAAAATATCCATAGATAGTAATTCTGCCCAAGAAATGGTAAGGATGGAACTGATTGACCCTACTAATTTGTTACAGGTTTGTTGGTGTCAGTAGAGTTTTTTGTATTTCTGCTGTTGAGCTACCATGCCTGGCATATGGCCCTCGTGAACAGTCTTAAACTTGGGCTGAGAAAGAGTATGCTAAAAAAGTGCATGGTTGAAAAGAAGGAAGATAAAGGGAATCTGCAGCATCATCAACTGCAATAGTCTTATCATAAGAGAGCACAGAGAACAAGCTTGAGCTGGGGTACGGAGAAGGTGCATTGCTAGAAGAAGACATCTTGACTAGGCTGTAGGAAGTTGAAAATCTGATCAAGGTCTATTGTTGCAGTTTGTAAAATACACTTCTAAAGATAAGTAACAGGACATGGTGGAATGTATTAATAAGCTGAGTCTTGTCCTTGTGCTTGTATCGTCACCACTAACACCAGAAATTCAGCATGACATTGTCCACACTTCATCTCATCCCTTCAAGCAGCCAATGCAACAACTTGAATTTTTCGCCATGGCTGAATCTCCGTTTATATCAATTAGTGGATGACTGAAGGACCTGTAAATAGAGATATCAGTCTTCCATATATATCCCCTGATTGTCAATTATACACAATTAGCTATAGGTAGCATTTTACATGTATTCCAATCCCGCTCATATCATATCTCCGCCCATCCGCCATCACCTTCTTCTACGCTGAAGAAAGCCAGACAGAAAACGATGGCGCTAGCGCCCAATCTCATTCCTAATCCACGATAAAGCTGGCCTACACCGCTATGCCTGAACCAGCTTTCACCCTCGCCAACGTCGACGTCGTCATTTGAAACAGCCCACTCTTGTCCCTTAAGACTTGCCTGACTGCCTCTACGCTTCTTTATTCGTCGCTTAATAGGCAGGTCGGATCGCTCTTCTGTCAATATATG